CCCCCGCAGTGCTTCCTTGGGCTGGCAGCGCGGCCCCAGCCACCTTTATAGCAGGGGCGTACAGCAGCATCCTGGGCCGTTTGGCTTCCGCGGGGTCACCAGCAGGTCCCCCACCCTGGGGCCTCCCCAGCCAGCCAGGGCTAGCACCCAGTATGGGGAAGGGGGGAGCAAACTGTTGTCTGCACCCCGCTGAGGTCAGGGCCCCCCTTGGCCATTCTGCAAGGCCCCCCCCTCCCCACAAAATGTGGCATGGATGGGGCAGCGGCAGCTGGGGCGTGTGTGTATGGTTTGGGATGGAGGAGTAGGTTTGGGATGGGTGCAAGAAGGGTTGGGGACCTGTTTGGGAGTGAAACGCTTGCACGGCACGGGGCTGGGCACCGGCCTGGTGAGGTGGGGAGGGAGGGCCGTGTCCCCCGAGCAGGACATGCTGTGCTGGTGGGCACTGCTCGCCATGCAGTGCCCCTGCCCCCCCGGCTGCTGCTGGCCCCTGCACCCCGGGGGAGAGCTGTCTCACCCTGCTGCTGAGTCCTCAGCTCTCAAGGACGAATAAGAAGGGTTTTTCTGCAAAAAGAAGCAAAAAGGCTCTGTTCCTTGCCCTTGCCCGTTGCAGGGAGACTTGGAGAGTCCTAGAGCAGGAAAGACTTTGCCTTTTTCCCAGATTCCTTAGGCTGGTTTTGTGAGTGGGGGTGAGACAGCTCGTGATTTTCAATGCCAGGGCCTGGCAGTGGGGACTCGCGGGCATTGCCCGTGCTCACAGCTCGGGCGAAGGCATTGCAGAGCCGGCCGGGGTGGGACAGCGCTGGCAGAGCAGGTGCCATGTTAGCTCAGCTCGTAGTGTGTCATTAATAATGGATTTTGTGTGGCACCCCAGAAGAGTCCCAGGACTGTTCACAAAAAGGGGCCATATTCTGCTGTCCTCTCCCAGACTGGCAGCTCCCTTGAAGTTGCTGTGCTTGCTTGTGTGAGTGGGATTAGGTGGATTTGTCCCCAAATAAACAGGACTCGGGATGGTTTTCTAAAAAGGGTAATGTTGATTCATTGTGCTATAAAGAATCTAAGCAGAGGCAGGCGACGAGCTGGAGCCATTCCTTCTCTACCACGCTTTATGAGCCATGAATATTTTGATTCCTTTGGTGTCGTTGTTTTTGCATATCTGTCTCTGTGTCTGGTGTAATCCTCTGAAAATAATATATTTTTTTTTCAAGCTTTGTGCGTGCCATTAGCAGCTAGTGGCTGCGCACAGTGTGAAGGCAGAGTCCTGAAGGCATTTGATCAGGTTGTGTTCGAGTGTCTCGGCGCTACGGCACCAGGAATTAAGTTCCTATAGTAACTCTGTTGGCTGTAAAGCTCCGAAGCAGTGGGAAGGGTGTAGTATTGTGCGTTTGCATTTTTTTTTTTTTTTTTAAATGATGTTCCTAGATTTAAAAGCACCACACACTAACACCAGCTCTTTGAGCTGAGCTTAACTTCCATGACTGCTTGATAACCCATCCCTGTTATTTATGCTGTTTGTATGATCAAACTATATGGAAAATATCTCTGCAGAGATGCACTCTTGTCTTGGAGGGGTCAAACTCTAGGGGTAGCCTTAAATTCTTCGCAGAAATCTAATTTGATTGTGGAGTGCGCAGAAGGAAATAATTTGTGTCGTACTGACTCATCTGTATGTCCCCTGAACTAAGGCATTTGGTTAACCTTGCTATGCCGTTTGTGTGGGTTAGAAATATAATTGACATCTTGCAAGTACCTGCTCACCTGGACGTAACTGCAGGCAGTACAAATGCTTGTGGAAGAGCTTATACTGGTCAGCGAGAGCGGCAAAGCGAGGACCTGCTCTGCAGACTGGATAGGAAATGGTTTAGGATGGCGTTGCAGACATCTGTTCTGTGCTAGCAGTGGAAAAGCCCTCCGCAGGAACCGGGGGAGGCAGTTGTCTAAGGAGGCGCAGATATATTTTAATATTAAGATGCTAATTTTTATTCTCAGGTTGTGTGCTGCTTAGGTTTTCTTTTAGCTAACGGGTCGGTAATGTTTCTCCATTTCAAATGTCTGTGTGAAAAGAAACTTTAATAAAAAGGGCTGGGGAGGGGGAAAAAAAAGAGTTTAGCTGAATGATTTTGTTTTGGCAACTTGTTCAATGGTGGCAGCTTTGAAATTGCCAAAGCTCGACTTTGAAATGGTTGAATGGGCGATCTGTGAAGTTCCTTCCGAGGGAGACCCAGCCCACGCGTGGGGGATTCATTCCCGTGCGTGCTGGGCAAGGCAGGCTGACCTGGGACCGCTGGGGAACTCGGAGAGGGGAAAAGTCACCGGCGTTCCTGCCGGCTGGGGAAGCTGGAAAGGCTTAATGGCTGAGGAGCATAAAGGATACGTGCAGAATAGGGCTATTCCCATGGTTTTGTCCTTTTTCAGAGCGTCGCATAATCCCGGTTTGGGCCTGTGGTGGTCCAAGATACAGAATGGCTCATAGGAAGGGTTTTTGGGGCACTTGGAACGGTGGAGCAA